AAATTCAAATTCCCCTCTCTTCTCTTCAGGCTTTTTCCCAGCTCAATCTGTACTCCTTTCTCTTTCCCAGCATCCCAGTACAAGCCAATGCTCTTTGCCCCGAGAAAGCAACATCTCCTCATACAACCCAGCTCACTAAACTCCCCTTCTTTCTGCAGGTCCTCCTCCTGTGCCGCACAGTTCACCCTCTTAAATCTACTTTATTGACTAATAATTATCTTTATTTGTAAGAATGGGAAAGACCCTGTATCTGGATGCATCTCCAGATTTTCACTTCATCTCATCTCATCTCATCTCATCTCAATCTGTATTATATATTCTAGACCACTGTTTCCCAATCCCTGCTAATTAATGAAACAAATAGCTCCATGTGTCACAAAATTAATAACTTCCTTTCTTATGGCTAAGCAATTAGAGGTTGAGCAGCAGCCCTAGCCAGCCCCCATCTTCCCTCTGCAATAACCCCAGTGCTTTTCCACACCTCCAAGTTGTTCACATAGCCACTCACAGAACTGGAAACATTGATGGAAGGGGTTAAGAACCTGTCCACTCTTTTGGTGTAATGGATCAACCTGGACACATTTTAAGAAGTCACGAAATTACAAAATTTGTTGTTATCAGATTTGTTGTTATCTTTGAAGAAAACACACTGGAGAGAAGTGCCCACAAGAGCTCTCACTGTGACAGTCAGACTGCAGCCTGGACATCCTTTCAACCAAGAACCCTGAACCCTCTTCACGTCCACTTTTGATTCAATAGGACATATGACCAGATCCATGTTCTTTGATTAAGACAGTGAAACACCTGTAGGGTCTATATTACTGCAAATCTTAATAAACAGGGATATTTTCACCCTCCTGGTTTTTACTAAATTACTGTGACAAAATACAAGGGACATAAAACTTCTCATGCAAACCTATGTCTCATATTAAAGAAAAAGGTCATGCTGGCACAGGCACTGTCAGATAAATTTATGCTCCAGCTGGCACGGAAAGGAAAATTAAAGGGGACAAGTGGAAAAACCCTTGCCTCACTGCCTTGGGCCATGGCAGCACACTCAGGCACTGGAAGCATTGTGAGGCTCCTGGAGTGTTGTTGTCATCTCCTGTCCAGGGGACACCCCAGGAGGCTTCCATCACCATCATCTAAGTCCTTCAAGGATGCAGCACACATGTGGCTCTCAGCTACAAGGCAGTGACTGGCTGTCATGTGGAAAGTTATGAATTGGCCAAGGAAACCTGTCTCATAGTCTTTGGAAACTGGAAGAAGGATTATGTATAATTGCACATGTATTCATTTCTTTGTCCTAAAAACACACATTTACATTTCAGTTAATGTTTAAAAGAAACCTAAGTTTCCTGCCAATAAATACTTAAAATGCCCTTTCCAGAAATATTCACAGACAGCTCCAAGAAGTATTCAGTCATCACAAAGAACTAGGTTAGTATTTAACACTCAAATATAATAGGTATTGATTGCATAAGACTACACTTCTGTTTATGCCATTCTGCTCAAACCAAGATACTAATCCTATTCAATGCAACAGAAACTTTATTCAATACTGAAAAAACTAGGTCTCTGCTAGACTGTCCATGCCCAATGCAATAGTGCTATACACATTTTAATAAGTTCAAATTAAATTTAAATTGCTTGATTATGCTAAATATATGTACATTTCTTGATAACATTTTAGATTGTAAGTCTTCCCACCCACTAACTCATGCTCCCTCTCACTGATGACAACTGTATTATTTCAGCTTAAAAGCACAAAAATATTTGACTTATTGTGGGATTTTATTTCTCTCCACCATCTCCCTTATGTAGTAGATCTTTTTGTGTGCAGATTTGCTAAAAAATTCAACAGTCTTGATCCAAATGAGGCAGTAGCTTGCTCTCTATTTCAATAAAATTTTACATATGTTTTAAAAGAAGTTGCAATTTTATGTTGATTTACTTTTAGGTATTTAATCTAATTTTAATGATTCTGATATACTTTTTTTTAATCTTTGAGCATGTAAGGCTGCAATGAAAGACAATGAAAATCCAGACACTGCTGTATGTTTGTGCTGCTGTGTCCTGGCTCCATAAAAAATTGAATGGAGCTTTTAATGCTGTTTATTCCATACCACACATATCATCACTGTGGTCCCAGCAGGAAAAGTCAAGGAGCAGGAAGAGAACTGCACCGTCTTGTCTGGCTCTCTCCAGGGAGACGTACTGGGATAAGCCAAGTGGACTCAGCCCCTCTTCACCATTGTCAGTCCCTTTCCCATTCCTCTGAGCTCTGCCTTTAGGATGTGGTGCTGAAGGACAGCAATGCGAGTCCAAGACAACTACTCCAGGGAATATTAGAAAAGAGAGAGAGAAGGGGCACAAGCTCAGCTGAGCCATTCAGAGGCCAAGCCCCAGCAGAGCGAAGTGAGTGGTGACAGGGCCAGAGAAGGCTGTGCAGAACATTTTGGAGTGGTCTGAGGTGGCAGCATGGTGCAATTCAGAGGGGTTTGCTTGCCCTACTTAGACTGGGCTGGAGGGATGAGAACATTAAGCCACCAGAGCTCTCATGGCCATATTGCCTTTGTCTGAGTACATACCAGGCACTGTCTTTGGGAAGCACTTTTTCTTTTGTTCCCAGTGATAAATGCCCTTTCGTGGGTGGGACACTCTCTTTTTATATACTTTTCTCACTACTGATATTGCTGTGGTTATTGTGATTTTAGTAAATTGTTCTTTTAACTCATAATCTCTTACTATCTCTCCAGTGTCAGAAGGCACAGGGGGAAAGGGAACAGCTTGCTTGGAGGTTGGTTCCCTGCAGCTGTTAAAAGCAGCACGTGCTGTACGTAAACCTTGGATTTGAAAAATGAAAATTATTCCAAACTCATGCTACCAGATGTGTAATCCCAAATCCTCAGAAGGGTGTAAAGGCCGTGACTGAGGTTAGGCCCTGGGGTGCAGCCTGTAAGCGTGCAAAACTTGACTCCTGAGGTACACTGAAATGGAAATTCCAGCTGCTCATAGTGGAAGGTCCTTGCTCTGTTAACACATCACTGAAGCATACCAGGCGTACTTGAAGACGATCAACAATGCTTTATAGTTGGAGTCTTACTTCCCCAAATATCCTATAACTCAATGAAGCTGGTGAATTAAACTAGATTTAATAACCCAAGTAAGATTATACTTTAGAGTTGAGAAAAGCAGTGAATGTGCTTATTATAAAATAGCAGAAAAGCTATTCTGTTTCAGATCATCCCTCTGAAACAAACAAAATCAGCAGCTCTGCAAACTTCATCAATGCACAAGCAAGGTCTTTTATTATCAAAACCAGCAAGTCTGGTGTCCAGGCACAGCCCAAATTAATACTAGAAAACACTTGGAGGAATTGGTCATAATCCTGCTAATTTAAAATAAGTGTTAGAAAGCCTAAAGTGATTTGATTTAGCAGTATTCTTTCCAAATGCTATGACTGTACCTTGTTCTGAAGAAGAGTAATGCCCTCACAACTAAAAAGCATTCGACTTGTTTTGTAAACAAACATTTACAATTCTTTACTAAACGTAACAGCAGAACAACACTGAAGAAAGTCACACATTTTCATATTGCTAGATGCAGCAGTCTTTAAAGCAGAAGAATGTTCTGTTGTCTTAAACAATAGTACTGAAATATTCAAAATATGCAATACATTCTTGTGAGTCAGCGGTTTGGGGAAGAAGGGATTCACTACTGCAGGGAAATGCCCACTTTATAGACACCTGTCACAATAATCCCACCTCAATAAGCAATGATCTAAACCATTTACAAGTACTATACAAGAGATAACCACAGTAGTTTCCAGTCAGGCCAGTGATTACAAGCAAAGCAACCCCATGACAAAGTTAAGTCTAGGTCCCATATTTGTGAAGACGAACTCCTTTGAATTCTGCAGAGGAAGATTAAAGTACCACTGACCTTAAGGTACACTTGCAAATAGCTGCAGAAGTACTGTCATTCTTCATTAGCATAGGTACTGCTCTGGCAGCAGCCAAATGCATTTACACAGCCTGTTTTTGACAACACACAGAGCATGTCTTTTACTTCAGCTACTCATTTGTCCCTGATTATGACCTAAGACAATTTATAATAATATGCATTAGTCAGTTTTTCCTGAGAAAGGTGGATGACTTACTTGTAGAATTACACAAGATCCAAAAGTCCTCATATATTTTGCACTTTTCTTGCAGTTAATTTACTCCAAGATTCAGCAGTCCCTTTCAACAGTAGCTTCACCAGGCAATTTAAAAACTGACAGTTGGAAGAGTTATGGCTTTGTTTACTGCCTTCTCCCAACAACCAGAACGAGTCTCATAGACTGAACTGACAGCTGCATGAGACAGTACCCAGCCAATAATTACCTACAATCTAGTAAATGTGTACTAGTGGTTGTCGTTTGTGTGTCTTGCAGAAATCAAAAGACACAGTAATTAAAATCTGCATAACCAAACAAGGAAAAAAGCCGAGGTCACCTGAGGAAAAGCCGTGCTGCATGCGTTAAGAGCAGACACCAGCTCTCACAGGGCTGCGAGGCGTGAGAGCGAGAGAAGCCTAACTCCAGCCTCCGAGACACCTTTCCTCTGCATGGTTTATGCAATGGAGGTTTGAGAGAGGTCGCTCCTGCAGCGGAGCAGGAGCAGGCTGGCAGCGGTGCTCCCACGGCTCAGGCCCGCGACACCGCCTGTCACGGCGTGCTGGGGGAATGCAGGGCTGGCGGGATGCGGGCGGGACCCGAGCCGTTCCCTCCTTAGGCGAAGGGCACTCTTCAATAGCGAGCGAGCGAGCGGGAGGAGCGCTGAGACTCAGCCGTCCTCCGCCTCACCTCAGCTCCCTTCTCCAGCGGTCGCCCTCCCACCTCTCCTTACCTCAGTTCCCTTCCCACCTCCTTTCCTCTCTCCTGGGATTACCAGCCCTCCCGCTCAACCTCCCCACCCGACACTGTAGGCAGAGACGCGATGCGGGCCGGCCCTCACCGCGCTGCTGTCGCCGTCCTCCGTCCGCTGGTCCTGGATGCTGCCGGCGGCGGGCGAGCCCTGCAGCAGCTGCTCCAGGCAGGCGGTGCTGGGCAGCGAGGAGCTCTTCTGGTGGGACAGGTGCGCCCCGGGCCGGCGCCCCTCCCTGCCACCCGCTGGCCCCTCACAGCCGGCGGCGGGCTCCGGCCGGCGGCCGGGCGGCGGCCCCTTGCCTTGGGGAAGCAGGTGCTCCCGCAGGCGGCGCAGGGCGGAGCCGGACTCGCCGGCCGGCTCCAGCGGCTCGGCGGCAGAGCAGCATAGGTTGGGCTGGGAGGACGAAAAGACGCGGTCTAGCACGTGCCGCCGTCGCTTGAAGCCACTCCACTTGCCACCGGGCTGGAGGTCCCCCTTGCTGCCGGCCGGCGGCGGCAGAGCGAGGGGCTCCGCAGTGCGGCGCTCGGCTGCTGCCGGCCCGCCGCCGCTCCGGCCCTTGCCCCCCAGCTGCAGGTTCTTCCACAGCCGGGCCTGGAAGGAAACCGCCGGCTCTGCTTCGCTGGGCTTCTCTCCCGTGCTCACTCGGGGCTCTTTGCCCGGCTCCATCCTTCTCCTCCTGCGACGGGGGCGGCGGTGGCGGCAGCAGCAGCAGAGCCCGCCGGAGCCTGCCGCCCTCTCTCCGGTGCGGGGCGGACCGAAACGGAGCGGCGCCCGCTGCCGGAACGAGCGCAGGGCTCCGCCGCACCGCCCTCCGCTCAGCGTGGCGCGTCCGAGGGAAGATGGTGCTGCAGCCGTGAGGCTGAAGATAAAGGAAGGACGAAGCTGCCACCCTGGCCCATCTGGGCAGAAAGTTTGCCACCCTAAGCCCACCACCACCCTGGGTGGTCCCTCAGTGGCGGCGGGCGGCGCGAAGCCCAGCAAAAAACGTTATCGGCGAGGCGCAGGGGGAGCAGCGGCTCGCATACAGATAGTGCGGCAATGCACATGAGGACTTGGCAGGAGAGGTTCGCCCTGCCCTCCTCCCCACTTGTTTCCTGCGGTGCAGACGGCCTCCCCGTACGGGATTGTGGGAGGGCGCGCGCCCCGGAGGCCGCGAGCGGCGGAGCGTGGGCGCCCCGGTGCTGCGGTCTCCGTGGGGCCGGGAAACACCCCGATCCTCGGGTGAAGGTGGGAATGTGAGGCGGCTCCCTGTCCAGCGGGCATCATCCCCGACCCGCAGTAACTTTGTGGAGGGAAGGTTCAGTGGGATTTCCTCATGAATGTACAGAAAGCGCTGCGGGAAATGCGTGCCTCGTCACTGGCCCTGTCCTTCGGCAGCGGTGGGTGCTGAGTGCAGAGCCCGGCCCGGCAGGACCCGCCGGGTATGGCGGGAACAAACCCTCAGCTCGTCTGCCGTTCTCGTCTTTTTTAAATTAAAGGAAACGTTTTCTTATCACAGCATGCTGTACTAGTAGTCACATCACCGTATTTTTGGATGTTTCTGTGGTTTCAGAAAAAATCTTTTGCGTTTCATGAAACAAACAAGTAAAATAAATATTCTTGTGAGCCATACCTTTGTGCAGTGTACTTTCGGTTTCATTTAAAAGGACACTTCTCACAATAGAGGATTTGGCCTCCTATATTCAACTTCCCCAATAAAGTTTGCAACCAGGCATTTGACAGTACAACTTTTGCTGAACAGAATGTGAGGAAAATTAAAAATACTGAGATAAAATGGGTGCTTCCAAATCATCAGGGCCTTGGGAATTCAATCTACAATATTTGAGAAAATAGCCAAAATAGCCTCTGAACCGCTGGTGGTTATTTCTGAGGAGTCCTGCCAATTAAGTGACATTTTAGGACCAGAAAAAAGCCAAAGATAGTAATAGAAAAAAGAATAAACCAAAAAGTTTTAAGATAGATAATTACAGACAAGTAACTGATTTTGATCCTTCTAAGTGAATCCAAATAATCAGCTTCTAACTACCTGAAAGCAAAAGCATGAAGTAGCAAAGCTCAAATGGGTCAAGGTCTGGAGGAAGCTTATGTGTCCAAATGTCTAAGTTGACATCTTTAGATCAAATAAAGAATTTGCTAAAATGAAAACTCTTTTTAAAAGATTTGTTTCTTGTAAATAATGAGTTTACTCAATGAGCAGGAATCAAAAAAATAATTGTATTCACCAGCTACACTGGGGACAGTGAAAAAGGATGAAATATATTTCAGTATATTTATCTGCCTTGTGTTTGACTCTTTTTATTTCCACCTTATACTCAAAACAAAATAAGCAGCTTTTCAGACAGATTTTTAGTTAGTGATGACTCTTCACAAAACCAGCTGATATAGGAAGACTACAACAGTGTATTCAGAAGATCTTACTTTACTAAATATACTGAACTACTCTCATAACTTTAAATGACTGTTGTTTTATCCAGTGATCACATCTTCCTATTAAAAGGGACCAGAAATTTGTTGTTTGTATAGACATATTCCCTTCAGCAACTAATCTTGGAAGTAAATGGGAGTTTGTAGTCTGGGAGGAGTGTACACAAGCCTTCATGTGGCTTGTGTTGTGTTTTTACAATGCATTCGTTGAGTGGTTTCAAGTATCGTACTGACAGGCCTCCTGATTATTTTTCCACAAAAGCCAGCATGAACTTTCCTTACATTAAAATTGTATCATTACCAAATCTGTACAACCTGCCTCCTTTTTATCCAACCAGCAAATGGATTTGCTTACAAAGAAAAGGGTCAAACTATCTTCACCTGTTCAGTTGCAAAAACACTAATTGTCCTCGGGGCAAAATCTCTCTGGGCTGACAAGATGGTAAATGGCTATGCTGCAACAGGCAGAGTGGGATTATTCTAAAATTAATTCAGATCAGGTCACCATAAGCAGTTTTACAACACTGTGAGTCATTCTGCACATTGAATTACTTGAGCTATATTCATTTGTTAAAGTTGAAACAGAATTTGGCAGAAAGATCACAGCAAAACCTCAAGCTACATTCAAACAGAAATCTCAACACTTAGTAACGTGGATTTAACACCTGTACAGATGAGAACAATACTTCTAAAAACACAGATAAACATTTATTAGCCTTATAAACAAGGATATCTGAAAATATTTCTTTGTGCCGTATTGCTTCAGTATTTTGAAAGCTAAAATAAAACAGGACAACGGTGACAGTAAAAAAAATTATTTGGTATTTCAAACTGAAACCCCAGGAGATCAAGAATATCTTCTTTATTTCCAGCATATATGTCAAAAAGGAACTATACATGTCAAAAAGGAACTATACATGTCAAAAAGGAAGAACATTTTCTGAGGAAGGCAGCTATCAGTCCCCTCAGAACTATATTTATATATATATATGTATGTCATTACTTTTAAGTAGTTTAAACTTATAAAACAAATGTGCCATTCAAAGATAAGCACTGTGCATTTTTTTTAAAACACTTTCTAACACTTTTGCCTATGACCCAAAGCCCCAAATTTCTCCAGTGCTTTAGATCAAATAAAATTTTTGGTTTGGTTTTGCTTATTCCTTGAAAAAGTAAGAAGTTGCTATGTTGCTTCTGATATTTAGGTCATTATATATGTGTATCCATATTTAGAAATATACTTAACTTTTTAGTTAACTCCTCTGTTTGAAACACCCTTCCTTTTCCCATCATTCAGAATACAGCAAAGATGGTAATATTTTGAAATACATACCAGACATATATGGAGATGATATTTGTTTAAAGATGGCCTTAGGCTCAAAGACTGAGCATGATTATGATCTCAGCCTGGAACCACATTTTTAACTCCATTTGCATGTTATTTTGCCTTGTTCTTTCTCAATGTTTCTTCAGCCTGAATCATTATAGATTTGTGTTTCCTTTTTTTAATCAGAGTTATGTTTCAGATCTATAACACAATTTTTAAGTATAGCCTCAAATGTTGTGTTTTGCTTGTCTTTTTCTCCACAATAGCAATGGAACATTGGCATCCCACTAATGAAATTCAGGTCTCAGCATGATGAACACTATCTCAGATGACTTCTCCCAAGCTGCTGTAAGCAAGTTTCACATTTTCAAGACAAACATATACTCTTTAACTCTTCTTGTCAATGGTTATTTTCACCTGAAATCTTCTAACTGATTTTCAGCATGAGACAAGAAATGCATTAGAACATTGAGAGCTTTGAAATTTTGAAAGTATTTAAACTGTGTCATATGATCTTCAGGCAAACTTAGCTATAAACAGTATTATAAATTCTATCTTCACCCACAAGTACACAATAATGAGTACATTTCTTCTTTAATTTTATACAGATAATAATGCTCCTTCCACATAGGGCTCCTCTAATGTGATTAAACATAGCATCTCACAAATCCAGTTGCAGCTTAGCTCTGCAAAATGCTTCATTGCTTTAATGTAGTTTTGAGTATTTTTAACCAGCTGTCGAATTTTTTGGGCAATATGGATTCAGCCATTAATCTAGGATAGTTCAAGCTTCAAAATGTTTTTCTGAAGCAGGAGGACTTTTATGAAAGTACCGTGAAGATTATAAGTTGCACTGTTATGAAAAGTTGATTCAATTTACTGGAGACTGATTTCCCTTCCTTGTACATCTTTGTCTCTAGTATTTTAACCATATTGCTAGCTTTCTGCTCATGTTCTTTAGCTATTTGTTTGACTGTTGTTTTTGATCCCTGACACAGTTCTTCTAATGACATTTACAGGAAGGTCTAGTGCAGCTTCTGGGAATAAAGGAAAGTAAAATCCAAGTCACAGAGCTCAGCACTGGTCTATATAAGCCACGTGCAGCACTTCAAAACACGTAGTGAGCCCACATTCCAGTCTACACACAACAGTAGGAAATCTAGCAAGCCATTCTCACAGCTGATGCCCCTAAGCATCAAGATCTGGCACTCCTGATGTTTGCAGACGTTCCACCTTCAGAAAGGGAAAGAACAGGGAGTAATGGCTTTAAACTGAAAGACAATAGATTAGATTAGTTTTTGGTACGAAATTCTTCACAGGAGCAGGCTGCCCAGAGAAGCTATGGATGCCCCAGCCCTAAAAATGTTCAAATCAGACTGGAAGAGTCTCTGGTCTGGTGGGAAGTGTGTCTGCTCGTAGCAGGGAGTTGGAACAAGATGACCCTTAAGGTCCTTTCCAGCCCAACCATTCTATGAATCTGTGATTCAGATTGCACCATTGAACATACAGCTCTTTTTTAAAAAAATTCGTTCTGGCCCAGTTTTTCATCATCAATATTAGTACTAAATACAAGTAATGTTAGGGTTAAATTGTAGTATTAATTTAAAATTTTCAGTGTGAATCTTTTTGGTAGTAGTCCCTGACAGCTTTCCCATCTCTGTTGGAGCATCACCAGTGGTGAACCTTTTTCCATTCCTGCTATTTCTTTCAAGTGTCTCCTGTTGATGCTGTAAAGATGTATGAGGAACTGAATATGTACACCAACTATTGCAATACCCAGAACGTTTACTGATCTTTACACTTAACCTATGTTTATTTCAACTGTCACTGAATGAATTTGGAGAGAATGATTTTTTTTCCTTTCTTAACTTTTTACTTAATCACAGATTATCTCTGCTTAAAATCGTTTCCCCTTCCAACAGCATTCTATGCTCTCAATATCCAAAGGAGATATAAGCATTATGGCACTTTTCCTTTAATATTGCTGACATTTAAAATTGCCTCTCAATTCTGCAAGTGGCACTACATTGCAATGAGCAATTTCAACATTTGAAATGAAGGCTCATGTGATCTCCTTCATTTCCTCCTCATCCTGGCACTGGCATAAGGAGGAGCAGGAAAGGAAAAGGTTGATTGGAGAATCATTTGGAGCTTGCATATATATATATATAAGAAATCTGAATCACACGGTCTTTTGTGTTCTTTCATCAAACTG